CCTTGAATCACTTGAACTCTGCGTTAGTGGGATTAATATGCTGTGTACCTGGGCTATCAGCCGGGTTATCTTCACATTGCACACTGTGTAGTACAGCAAAAATGTGCTGAGGCTTTTGCTTCAGGCTTAACTGGGTTYGGATGCCTATTAAGTGCTGTGCGAGCTGACCGTGAGCACGGAGCTGGCTCTGGCAGCCAGCATTGCCGCATGAGGCCTGATGGAGAGCGATGTGTGCATTCAGCCGTGCAGGGGATTATGCGCATTCCCACAACTCCTGCATGCCCAGGTGCCCCCAGGAGTCCGCGGGCATTAGGAAAACAGACATTCCACGGGCTGAAAAGCTCCTGGGTGCTCCTGAGCAACAYGGCTTCGCTGTGCTTTCCCTGTTCAAATTCCCTCATTTTGCTTGCCTGCAACTGATGTAACACAAGTGACTGTGACTCGGTGTTAGGCTCAAAGAAGAGAAACTGTCCTGACCCCTTCTGCAACTGGAGATTGCCCTGAAGCACAGCACCTCATTAACCTTGTTTTAGTGTCTGTAGCTGCAGGTGTTTTTATTGCTCCTAAACCTATCCCCATCGCTCTCTCCAGCTAGCCTCATCTTTTGTAGGCCATGATTTTTCTTAAAATGTCCATTTTATAAATCACTTGAATTAGCTTTATATCACTCTGTTATATTTGTATTGCTTGATTTAGTTTTCAGATTGCTTCCATTATGTCTTATATATTGCTTTGATTTTATTTATAATGTTTCCAGTGCATTTGCATTGCTTTCTTTAGATGGATATCATTTTGGCTGGATTTACACTGTATTTCTTCAGTTAGATTTATATCGCTTTAATTATATTTATATCCCTTTAGACTTTAAGGACTTCACTTAGATTTATCATATTGCTTCTGCTAGGCTTGTCTTGCATGGGAGATTCATCTCCTTTCTTTTTTTTAACGGGAATTGCCTAACTCAGTGGTAATGTTCTATCTAGACTTTGGTCAGCCTCCCAGTTGGATATATTAAGCAAGAACTCACCACCTGTTTTTCCCCAAATTTCCACTGGGATTATTTCAGCGTGAACTGTACTGATTTAAGTTAATTTCTTCTAAGTCAGCACCAGGATGAACGTGAAGGAGATGAGGACTTGCACTGGTGAGGAATCTGAGGAATCCAGCTSGCAAGATAGCGTTTTTATTCCTTTCCTCCCTACATGTTGCATGCATTGCCCTCAAAGGAAGCCGTGCAGGCTCTCCCAGCGAGGTGGGGACCAGGGGTGGCTCTCACAGGATGCAAGGCTCTCTGTTGCCTGCCCTGCTCTGATCACATCAGCCAGAGAAAACAGTCCACATGCTTCAGGGAGAAAGTCAAGCTTTAATTGGGAAGGGTCCCTAGGAAACATTCCCTGAGGGATGTTATTTCAGATGCTCACAACAGGGTATCTGGTTACTTTCCCAGAAAAATGAGATTCGGGGCTTGTCCAAGGCAGAACAGTGGGCCAAGGGGACATATTCTAGCATAGCTGCTCCCAGGCCTTATCCTGTTAATCTCCATGGGGGTCTGAGTTGATAGGRTTTCTTTTCTTTTAGCATCTTTGGCCATCAGCGCTCAGCTTGGCACTGGAGTGCAACATGACACTGGCACTTACTGTAGGTCCAACGATGGACCAAAAGCTTGTGCGAAACATACTAGCAATACAGCTGCAGCACAAAGGTAACCAGGACTGCCACATGAGACACCTTCCTACTGCAGAGCAACTCGGGTTGTATGGGGCTAAACTTATTCCTCCCTGCCCCAAAACAGCAGGAAGGTTTTCTTTCTGCGCATTGTGTTTACTCCATGGGTCAGTTCAAATGGGATTTCTATATTTGCATGGCATCTGGGAGCCTATGTGAAACAGCCCAAGAGCTTTGTTTAGGGAAGGAAAAAGGGTAAGCGTCTTCCCCCTTCCGTATCCATTCTGCCCCATGCTGTTTTGGGCGCCTGTCCCTGCCCTGCCCCCCTTTGTGTTTATTCCTTGTGTGAAGAGGACGGACGCTGCAAGGCATGAAGCAGCGAGGGAGGCGAGGAATGTGTTACAGACTGCCTGTTGTTCGCTAGTTGGATCCAGATGTTAAGGAGGGGGCAGCATTCATGAGCACGACAGGGAAAGGCTGGGGCAGGAGGAAGCGTGCTGCAGCAAGGCTGCTCCCCCAGTGAGGCCAGCGAGACGCGGAAAAAGGATGTGAATTTGGCTCGCCAGGTGACAATTTCTGTTTGATCCCTGAGCACAAAATAGAAATCGAACTGAGAGGGAACCCTGCCCAGATCTTCCTCCAATTAGAACTGAATCCTAGTCTTTCTCTTTGCCAGTAGTTCGGCCCTCACCAAGAGGAGTCTTCTGTAGAAGCATCCACAGCCAATGCTTAGTCACGAGTTTGCTCCCCAAAAGCAGCTATTACTCATGCAGGGAGCTGCAGGACAGCCCTGACCACAAGGAGGTTTTGGAAGCATTTCCCAGTACCTCCCAAATCCGCATCGCTAGTGTGAACTCTTGGAATCTCCTGCAAACAGGCTATGCTCCTCCACGTGGTGCTTCCACTTCTCCTGGCCTTTCTGCAGAAGGGCAGCCCTTGTCTCGGCTAGCACTACCAGATGCACTCCACGAGTCAGGATTTCTCATGTAGGACCTCAGACACTATAGCAGTTTGGTGCCCTGTGAGGGATCCTCACCTCTGCTCCCTGGTGCAACTCCAAAGGTGGTGCTTTTGTGGCACTTGTCCTACTCCACCCTAGCTGTAGACCACAGCAGGAGCAGGTCCATGCTATGTACTCTTTCCCAAGGACTTCTTTTCCAGGATAAAAGGGGCAGAAGTGCCCCCCATGAATCCCAAGCACTGTTCTCCAAGCACTGCTCTTGCCGTCCCACWTCCTTCCCCTTTCTCTTCCTCATGGAAGCTGCGTTCAGCACCATCATAAATGAGCATGGCTTCTCAATTAATGTGCTTCTCATCAGGACATCAGCATTGCAGCAAGAGAGGCTGGATCTGAGATCTGGGCTGTAGAAGTTTAAGCACGCAGCTAACCTCCCAGCACTTTGCCACCGGGGCCCATGCATTTAATTACAGCCAGGCTGCTGCACCCTCCAACCTTTCAATTGCCCTGGATAGACAATAGAGTGGTAACCAGGTCACAAGAAGATGCTGGGCATTGTTTTAAGGTCGTTAAGCTGTTTTTAACCACCATTCAGAAGCTCTTTTTATGTAATTGCTGAGCAAAGGAGGGCATTCAGGAGGGGCAGCATGGAGCACACGAAAGGGATGATGAATAGCTTTTAATTAATGAAAAATGACTTGAGGTCTGATTCACTTCTCTAACAGCTACAAGTCCTTTCCCAGAGCTACAGCCCAAGCCACAGTAATGGCTGGAATTTACTTAACAGTTTGAGGGACTGAGAGAGCAAAAACTATCCAGTTAACTCTCCCAGAGCTCTGTGAGTTCTGTAGTGCTATGTATACTAGTAAAAATAAGTTTTTTGTGGGTGTTCAGATCCCTGAAGAAGAGTTGCCTATTTGAATCATTCAAAAAGCTCTGGTGTTCCTTTCATGGGACTTTAAAAGTTGAGTTTGGCATGAAAAGAAGGGAAGACTAAATAGGTCAAGGCAGAACATTTGTGTGTGATCCCTGGCCTCACTTACATCAATTTTAGTGGAGATTAACAAATCAGATCAGAATCTCACAGCTGAAAAGGAAGAAAAAGTGTGCTCTTGGTTGATCGGTATTTTTTATTTTGAGGGTGCTCTAGACAAATGAAGGAGAGAGATTCAGAGCACAATCAAAGGCTGTTTTCCCTTCCCCTTGCCTTTGCATTACTTTCCCAACTCCATCTGTGCAACCAGTTAGCGTGCTGGAAAGAAAAACCTGCCTGGCTTTCAGTGTGTGCACACAGGGCTCTCCTCAGGCCAGCGGGGAAAAAACCTGATGAGGCCAGGGCAGGGGACAGAATGCCTTGTTATACCCAGGCAAGATGCCCAGCACAGGCTGAGACAGAGGCTGCCTCTTGGACTATGCTAGTGGCATTAGCAATCCGATCAGGGCACAAGGCCTAAGGCTTGGGTGACAGGACATTTCCTAGGGTTCTGCTCAGTTCTGCAGCCTCGGAAATGATCCAGCTCTGCTGAGAGGTCCTGCAGACTTTGAGTAGAATCATAGAATCATAGAATCATAGAATGCCGAAGGTTGGAAGGGACCTCAGAGGTCATCGAGTCCAACCCCCCTGCACACGCAGGGTCACCTAGAGCACGTGGCACAGGGCTGCATCCAAGCGGGTTTTAAAGATCTCCAAAGAAGGAGACTCCACAACCTCTCTGGGCAGCCTGTTCCAGTGCTTTGTCACCCTCACAGTGAAGAAATGCTTCCTTAAGTTCCTGTGGAACTTCCGATGCTTCAGTTTGAAGCCATTTCCTCAAGTCCTATCACTGTCCACCACTGAGAATTAGTGCTCAAAGAAAAAGCATTGGCCTGAGAGCACAGGCAAGCCTGCTCAGCCCCTGCTCTGCCTCCATCCAAAAGCATGTTCTTCTACTTAGTTCAAAAGTGAGTGAAGTCAAGCTTTCCTCACCCCAGTTCCGCCAGGTTCTTCATATGTGGCTGTAATCTAATTTTAAACCTCTTACACTGACAAAATAGSTGTTTGGGACAGCTTTGGTTGCCTGCACCATCCATCTACTCCATGGCTTATCCAAGCAAGGAATGGCACTGTACYCAGTTCACTAGACACACCCTTAACAGATGACCTATAAGGACATATGATTTGACTGTGTTTTATGCTGTATTTCATCCCTGCTGGACAAGCACCTAGTGTGAGGGTGCTGGGTGCCCCAGCAGGTAGCAATTGGCCTGATGAGCACCACCCATGCCTCGACCCACTCATCTTCTGCCCGCTTCTCCCCCTAACAATATGTAAACCCAGCCCTGACTTCCTTGCTTGGCCCCTGAGCAGACTGCTAGGAGCAGCTGGGTGAGGGTTGCCTGCTCCAGAAGACAAGACAGCCTCCTTTCCAGCAATGGGCAGCCCTGGCTGTGGTGAGCAGTGTGTGTTTAAAGGTCTGCTTCTTGCCTCTGCAAAGGTGAGGAGTGCAGAGGATTGCAGGCAGCAGAGTGGTTTTCAGCAAGCTGCTCTTCCTGCTCCCTGGCTCCGACATGGCTTCAGTCCCCACTGAGCTACCGCTGAGATGGTTTCCTAGAAAAAAAACTGCTCATTTATAACAAGCATCCTTTCTCTTTGATGTGCTGGTGGTACTGCTGTTGTGGTGTTTTAAATACCTTGGTTTCATGCTCATAATGAGGAAACTGGCCACAACCTTACTGTAAGTAGATGAGAAAGCAGCAATAATTATTGCTCCCTGCCATGGGAGGGTAAACTTCAGATGCTAATGGCCCCTGGGGTATTGACTGATTACTCACTTTAGGGTGAAAGAGCAAGGGGAAAGGGCCTTCATTGGCTTTGGTCTTAAATGTTCACACTTTGATTTATGGCAGGAAAAAAATAATCTTAAATTGTATATAAAAAGTGATCCTATGCATGGATTTTTTTAGAAGGGGAGAGAGACTTCTTGTGTGTGTGTTTATGGAGAAGGATAGGACAGTAGTATCCTTAGAATGGATAAAGGGAGAAGAAAGTGCAGATATATATGCATCATCCTGCTTGACAGCATGCACACAATAGCAAGTGGGTGGAAGTTGTGAGGATGGGATGGTTGCAAACATTTTTGTTTGCCCAATATATTTGCATGTGGAGAAGGCAAGGAGCAATAGGCTCTGGCAAGCTGTTTATCCACAGCCTTGTATGGCACACTAAAGTGCTTCTCATATTCTCTGCTTCTATTTCTCTATCAAGGTTCTCAATTTTTATACACAAGAACTATCTCCTTTGAGTCCAGATATTAATGGGCATTAATCCCATCCTGGGTCCACAAGTTGCTGCGGTAACTTAGGCAAGCAAAGTTTTTAGGTGAGGAACAGGGCATGAAGATTTGCAGCTTGGCAAAATATTAGTGAGTTTTGCACAGGGATGGCAAAGGGCATATCCAAGACACCCAGGCAAACCCAATGTCAAATTGCAATGCCCTGCTCCCACGCACAGCCCTGAAGGAACTTCCCAGAACAGTGCAGGCTGTTCTCTTTTAGCAGAATGATTTCCCCTACTTTTGTCTGAAACATGGCTGAAATTTTAATGGAAATCTGGTAAAAAGGCTTCTGGTAAAAAAGACTGCAGCACAGCCCTAAAAGAAACTTCTGGCCCAAACTATTAGTTTTCAGTAAAATTATATGCAACTTAGGAACAGATCCTGCTATGTGAATATTCAGCTAGGGGGAATGGTTCTCTTTTCCAGTAAGCCGGAAAAGAAATGGCAAACGTGGGCAAGCTCTTCACACAGGTAAAACTCACTGAAGATGCTAATTGCAGGTTTGGACTGAAAAGTGAGTGTGGTCCTTAAGAGAGGAATTTTTTTCCAAGGGCTATTTGTTGCCATTGCCCTCATGAAACTTTTCTTCCCCCTCCTTTCCCTGCTGGGGTCCTCCCTTATTTTTTTTTTTTTTCATAATCTCCTCCAAATAAATGGACTGTGTGAATGAGGCCTTCTCCTTTGCTGCTTTTGTCCTAGGGAACAAGCTTCCAGTGTACTTCTGCCTTGTGAACCTTCTCTTTCTGCATCTGAAGTGAACCTTCTCTTTGCCTGCTTACACCTCTAAATTTTGTCTCCTCTTCTGCTCTTATTTTTAGCACTGCTATTGTCCTAGCATTTCAAGGATAAAACTTGTTTGAGGAAGGTTGTGAAAATGTAGGGGCAAATCTTACTTAAATGAGGTCCCACTGGCGGTAAAAGGGCTACTTAGGGACAAAAGTGTTCTTGCCCTCTGGAAGTGTGGTTTAAAGAGTTCCTTCTGTTTATTTCTGTGCTTCTCCTTGCAAGGATATTTCCCAGAGGCCCTGATCCTGCTGCCACAATGACCTTTGTGTTTGCAGAGAGACCTTTTGAAATCAAAGGGGCCCTTCATGAGTGTCTGTCCATCTGGAAGTGATTGCAGAATTGGGTGGGGTGCAGGGTGGATTTGGAGCCTTTGGACTGTAAGCTGCAGATTCTGAGGTGACTTAAGTGTGCGCTGCTGGTCCAAAGAAGAAAAGGGGAGGCAAATCTGAAGTGGCCCCAGTGATATTCTTAGGGGCCAGGAATGCACCCTGTGTGCATCAGCACGGACCTGTGAAGGGCTGCTGGGCAGTGTGACAGCCTGAGCAGTCGTGCACATGCTGCATTCATGACAAGAGCATGTTTAGAGAAGGGATCTGCTTTGCACAGACGAGAGCTGGAGTTGGTTGGTGATGCTCGCTACCTTTCTTCCCATTTGCAGCTTGTAAATAGTGGTTTAAGAAGGGAGTAGAAAAAAAGAAAGGACAGCTAGTGAGAGAAGCGGGCTGGCTGCCGCTGGAGGAGCGGTCTCCCTCAGCCCCGGCGCAGGCGAGGGGGAGCGGGGCGCGCTGCGGGCTGCGCTGCTTAGGGCCGGCTTTGCCTTTGCGCCGCGCGCCCCGGCCGCGCTTTTCCGCCCCTGCTGCCGCGCTCCCCCCGCGCGCTGCGCGCAGCTGGGGCGCAGCTGGAGGCGGGCGCGCGCGCTGTCTCTTTAAGGCAGGTCCCGGGATTTGGGGAAGGAAGTGACGGGCGGGCGGGCAGAGAGCGAGGGGAGGTCGGCGCTGG